AAAGCATGCATCAAAGTTGGATTAACATATTATCAACTCATAGTCTCTATATTAAATGTCATTCAATTTTTAGGATCCTTAGGTCAATATTTGACATTATGGTCTGTTAAGACAGCTTGTTTGGTTTCTCATTTAATTCTGAGCATATTTTAGTCCTATTTCTGACTTAGGGCTTTAAAACCTATTTTGAACAAGTTTTTTGGGACCTATCTTGGGTCATTAAGTTTGGATCCCACCATTTTTTATTGATATTTTAATAATAATTATAGCTATTTTATTTTGACTTATAACATGTTTATTATGGTAATAATATTGATTATTATGCATAACATGTTCACTAAGTCTTAATTATTACTAACTACCATATTATGTTAATGGTATTCTTGGTTGGTAATAATATTAATTATTAAGTTTGGATATATTTCAGTACTTGACCATTTTATATCCATGTCACAACTCACTTGGACCATTGAGTTTATGAGTCTAATTTGAGTGATTAAGTGCTATAATTATTATATTGGGTCTATTTATGAGCCATTAAGAATTTAAGGATTATAATTGTTATTTTGGCCATTAAGAATTATAACTATTGTTTAAGTTGATTATATATATTTTAATCTATCAAATAGTTTTCAGGGCCTTAATAATAATATTAATTCCTTTAATGATATAGTAAGCAATATAGTTGGTATATTGCCTTTACAATGGTAATTTGATTATTACCATAATTTCAGTCTCCCTGAAAGACATTATAGTCTTGGTTAATTATTATGTGGTAATATGAGATTGGCATTCAGTATCCCCTTAATTATGGTTTTGCGGTTTTGCCATTTATTAAGTTATATTTGGCATTATTAATTACTATTATTAAGTTTAGGGGCTAATCTCGTTTATTACCTTTCATAGTAATTATTATTTCTTGGTAATCTATTATGTTTGGAAAGATTACCTATTTAGTGTTTATTGTTACATGACATTGCATTGAGGTTACTGACGATGAAGATGGGAGAATTATAGCACTATGGGAGATGCAATTTGCATCATTAAGGTTAGTCATTAAGTTTTATCATTATTCATTTTTGGTAATTAGTGCTATAGTTATAGTTTGACTGCTATAATTTTGAAATTGCCACATTTTATTTCTTTAAGAAAAATGGAAACATTAAAGAAGGTATATTACCATACTTTGGTTGTTATTACCAAATATTAATGGTGATTATAAGGTTATTTATTACCATTAATATTTTAATGATAACATTATTATTATGGTTTATTTATGAATCCTAAATTGTTTCCAATTATGTTTATGTGACAATGTTTCAGATAAGAAATTTTTTTTTTAGGCAATTACTGACTATTGCCATTATTGTACATTTATTCCATAGTTCATTCAGTCTTTGAATTATGATTAATGTTTTTGCCCATATTTGGTTAAGTATGAATAAATGAATATTTGGTGTATTTTAATACTCTTTAGATTGTTTTATGCATTTGATCACATTATGTGCATAATATTGAGTTTAATTATGCAATTAGGTTTTGTGAGATTTTGATTTACAAATGACAACGTATCATTTTTGTTTGATATTGTTAGAATTTGTAAATTCAGTTATTTCTCATAAATTTGATCTTTATGCGTTAAACATTTTGTTATGGGCTTACAGTTTAAAATTTCAAAGATTTTTTGAAATCTCATATTGTGAATTGCTTTTAATTTATGCAATTTGTTTGGAATATATGAGTTTAATGTTTAATTTTATGCATATTTGTCCTAAGCATAATATTCTGTTTTATATTATGCAAATTTTTTTTATTATGCCTTTAGCAATGCATAAATTTAGGATGGAATTATATTAGTTCCTATTTAAGTTGGACTAATGTGCATAAACTTTAATTGCGGTAGTGCCTGAATTTAAGCACGTTTAGTCCGTTAACTTAATTCATCAATTTAAAGCCTTAATCGTAGGTGAATCTACAATCTTTAGATCTTCCAAACGATTTTACTTCAAACATGAGAACACATAACTTAGGGAAGTTACTTGGGGAGGAATACTAGTTCTATGGCCCTGGCTTAAAAGCCTTGTTGCTACTAGTCCCCTTGCGACGCTACTCTGTCTAAGGAGTTGGTATTTAACCGAGCTTCGTCTCGACCAACTTTCCTGGGAGTATACCTAATAATTGTTTATAATGTGTTGGTTTAATTTGTTTGTTAGGCTTTAAATTCCCCTTTTGCCAAGTGATTACAATTTTAGATTAATTAAAGAGCAGCCACATGCAGCATCTTTAATTTACTAAAAATTGACTATGGTTTAAATTACATAAAGATTGACAATGATAATTGTCTAGTGATCTTATAATTTTAATGAGTTGGGGAGTAGCAACAACATCCTTAATTAGTTAAAATTATATATTAAGCAGTTTATCTTGATCACATACAGTTTTGGACATATCATTTGTGATTAATTGTATGTAATATGATGGAATTTAGCCCACAGGCAATTTCGTTATATTTGTATAGTTAATCAGGATGAAATACTGGACTACGGTCATAATTTAGCCCACAGACAATTATGTATCGGAATGTGGTTTAGTAGTTTTATCAGCGATGATAGAAATAAATTAATTTTATTTACTTTATGGTTATTTGTAAATAATTCTCATCTCTATCATAAAGTTTAATTTTATGATGTAAATCTTTAGATCATATTTCTTAATTTACCCACAGGGATTAAGGAAAGGAACATGATTTCTTAAGTTTTTATCATAATAGTTGTAATGAATCTTATTGAGTAAAACTTTAGCCTACATGCAAGTTTTATGTCACTTGATTCTTCAACTTATTTGATAATTGTTTCATCATAAAATTTCAGTTGGATTTAATAGAATTTAAACTTTAGCCCACAGACAAGTTTTATGTCAATAAATCCTTTAACCCATTAGGTAATAATTTTATCACAATTTCTTAGAATTTATAAATTTAGTTCAATTATAATTCTAAGTTTCATGGTTTGCATTGGCAAAACATGTATTCAGTCACTTCCCAAAATTTAGCCGCCTTTATTAATTGCTTCACGAACTTACTTGGTTATTTGGATCAACTATAGTAAGTTATGTGATGTGATATACCTCTTTTGGATTCCAAGACTAAAATGTACCTTTTGAGCCAAATTCTAACTTGGTTTTGGAAGGTGTGTTTTATTATTTTAGTATGTCCAACTAATGGTGGGAAATTAATATCTTCATTATTTAGTTGGACTTTAATTGGAACCAAAAATTGATTATTTAGTATGTCCAACTAATGGTGGGGAATTATGTCTTCATTTGTTAGTTGGTCAAATCAATTACGAGTATGTATATCATTAATTTTGCTAAAGAATATCTTAATAAGTGGGAGTGATCATTTAGAAAAAGATCATTAAGATACTCCATTAAAGATTTTGGATTTAATTCGCTTCATACATCCCATATTGGATTGTATGTCAAACAATAAGTCCAAAAGATTCCACAAGTATTAATCATGTATTTGTTCATATAAATTCATATTGATTGTGCAACATATTTATGAAGATGTTGTAACAATATTAAAGAGTTTATTAGAACAAAACATATAACTTGTGGTGCACTTTTAAGTAATAAATTCTTCAGCATTTAATAGTATTTAGTTTCTTCAAAATTGATCCTGGGCCATTTTAGTTTGTAAGGCTCAAGACAATTTTGAGAAACATAAAAGTAATACTCATAATGTTCAGTTCATTTTGAGTTGGACCTTAAGATTATTTGGGAAGTTATGGTGTATGTTTAAGATTCCAAATTTATGGACTTAGACCTTTGGTTTATTGTCTAAGTTGTTGGAATGCTTCTATGACTAAACTACCTTTTGGCTATTTTGATGAGTGGGAGTGACAGACGTGTCAACTCCAAGCTCTTAGCCGTTAGATGTAGTTCTTATGTTAACTTATAAAGAAGTCATGGAATATATAGTTAGCATTATGCTAACATTAAGAGATCTCTACTTAAGGCATGCTTTTAAGGATCTTAGAGATCATACAGTGTACTCTTTTGTACAATTTGGATGGTTTTCTCTCTTAAGTTGCGCATATATATTTTATTTTGAGAAACATCCCTTAAGGTACCAAGAATAAACATTGGGTTTGTTCATAAAGGATTCAAGTTGGGGAATAAAAATGCATGTGATCACAGGAGATATTACTCACTTATTCAGTAGAGGACATTATTACTATGATTCGTGTGTTTTGTTCTTTAATGCGAATTGTGCTATTACTTGCACCAAGTGGGATACTGTAAGACTTTCCCGTATAATATATATTATGTATTATGGGTCTTACTTATGTGGTGCAAGTGGACTAGGCCCATTAAGTAATTGGTTGGGTTGGACCTTTAGGTTTAAGTCTTATATCTACCAATGTGCCTATATAAAGCTTGTATTGATGGGATACAAGATACATGAATATTATATGGTACTCATACTGCTCAGAAAATACCAGTACACCATCTAGGGTTCTGAGTCAAGTATGAGACAAAACTGGTAACCCTATTCTGCAGATCTACCCGTTCAAGAGGCAACACAACATGATATCAACCATGGCTGGAGATCTACAATGCTTCCGCTTCCGCTGCTACGAGTTAAGTTTCTCGTAAATTATGCTTTGTATATTTAAATCTCACATATATATATATATATATATATATATATATATAATATTTGAATAACAATCATGTGAGAACCTATTGTTAGATAGGAACGTAAGAACTAATCTAAGCCGTTTATTTAAATTAATCTAAGATGTATGTTTTATTGTTTTTAATATTTAGTTTGTACGGTAGATTGGGGTTTATTTGGGCGAAGAGGGGTAGTTTGGTCATTGTAGGGGCGCGTGTAATGGGGTTCCGATTACTGCCCTGATCTTTCGCTATTTCACTTCGCGTAGGTTTTGGAGCTCTCCAGTTCACTCGCGGCTTGTTTTGAAAAAACGAGACCTCTCATCTCTTCTTAGCGTGTCGCTAAACCACCGATTCAACTCCCGTCTGAGATGGTCGGTGCCGATCGTCGGAATCCGAAGCGCCCTAGGCCAGCGACGAGGTCGACCGCTGCTCCAGGTATTGTTTTCCCTTTTTTTTTAATTTTTTTTTTTCGAAGTCCTGTGCGTGGTGTTTTTTTTTTTTTTTAATATTTGAGTTGTGTATTTGTTTGTGTTTTTTTTTACTCTTCACGTCGCCGGTAGGTGACGCTAGAGTGGGTGTTTTTTAGTTTGATTTTGGTGCGGCTGGGTTGTCTTCGGGCTTTTTTTTTGGGGGTGGGGGGTGGGGGTGTTTCGTTGCTTGTTTGGTGGTTGGTGTGGTCCGTTTTGGGGTTGGGTTTGGGAGTGGATGGTGGGTTTTTGTTGGTGGTGTTGCCTATAGTGTGGTGGGGTTTTGGTGGGGCGGGGATGGCGGGGGGAAACGACAAGTTGGTGTCTTTCGGATGGAGTCGGGCAGAGGCGGGGGGATGGTGACGGCCGGTGGGGCGGCGGTGGCTGGTGCATTTGTTCTGTCTCGGGGTTTTTCTTCATTTTTTTAAAATTTTTTTTGGTCTTTTTTTTTAGTGTGTACCCGCTTGGTGTGTTTGTTAAGGTTGGTTGTTAGGTAGTAATACAACAAGTTTTCCTTTTTTCTTGATTGTGTATCATTTTGTATTTTTTTCTTTTATTGTTTGGTTGTTTGTTTGTGGGGACCTCAATGTGGTTTTTTTTGTTTGTTTTGTCTTTGGTGGGGTTCAAGGTGTGTGTGGGGTGGTGGGTGGGTGTTGGGGGTGTGGTGCTGACAGGTGCTGTTGTTGTTTTTTTTTTTTTTTTTTTTTTTTTTTTAAGGGTGTGTATTTACTGTGTGTGCCCGTGTGGTGTTTTGGAGGCTGGCTGCTTGTCGCTATGTGCAGTTGTGGTCTTTTAGGGGTGCACGCTAGTATGACTGAATGGGATTTAGTGTATTGCTCATAGGATTGTCGTGGCCAAAAATATAGAATTATGGTGGCCATAGTGCATTTTTTGAACTCTTCCATTTTAAGCGGTGTTGCTAAATGTTCCAAATTATTTGTCTCAAATTATAGAGTCTTATTTAATTATTCAGGACTTGTTACAAAACCAGAGAGTTAATGAAATGATGAAATGAGCACCCATAAGACAGAATTTGAGATAAATTGTATAGGACATGTAACATTTATTGCTTTGAAGTTAAGTGTAGCATGCTTACATTTAAGAAATTAGTTGTGCTTCGGTGTGTTTGTTTGTTTATAGGTTTTGGCGTGTGTATGGGATTAGGGTTGTGCGTGCACATGTGGACTGTGTGACTATTATGTTGTTAATTGGGTGTTTCTGTTATCTATGTGCTCTTGAGTTGCTGTGTGTGTTGTTATGGTGTGTTATTTATCTTGTATATCTGCTTGTTGTTGGGTGTGCACATTTGCTCGTTATTTTGTGCCAACTAGGTGTAGGGGGGTTTGTTTATTATATTCTGGCTGCTGCATTCATTCTTTGCTTATAATTTTTTTGATATGGCTTGCTCGTTTCTAATTGTGTTTTTTTTTTTTTTTTTTTGTTCTTGTTTGGTGTAATGCATTATGTACTGGGTCAACCTCATCAGGGTGGGGGCGTCCTAAAGCCCAGTGATCTTGGTACAAATGTCAGGGTAGGTGGTGCTATGGGGGCACGGGCATTCCTTCGGAGGCTAGAGGCTGAACCGGATTATGAGTTGACTCCAAAGGAGGATGCCCGTTTTCCTAGCATGACAACTCGGTGTTCTGCTAGGGTCCTTGTCGAGGCGTGTCAGAAGTTTGGGAGACGGCAACATCGGGCAGTCTGTGAGTTGGGATTTGGTAAGTTGTTGGACTTGGAGGTTATGGAGACGCCAGGGCGGTTGGGGCGGTGGTTGTTGCAGAATTTTGATCCAAAAACCATGACCTTACGCTTGGGCAATGGTGTTTCAGTTGAAATCCATGAAGAAGATGTGGAGGCTATACTTGGGCTACCTAGGGGTGAGGTGGCCATCACGAAGCGAGGGAATAATGCGGTCAGTGACTTCGTGGTTTCTTGGAGGAGTCAGTTTTCTACATTGTCGCATTCTATTACACCTACGGCGATTTCTACTGAGATGGGGTTATTAGGTGCGGGGTGTGAGTGGTTCCAGTGGAATTTTACAACCTTGATGGTTAGCACATTGATACGGTGTATGCACAATGGGTATGCCTACCAGATGATTTTGGACTCTTGTGAGGAAGTTGAGAGTATAAAGAATCTGAATTGGTGTAAGTTTCTGTTGGATAGTTTGGTTGAGACACGTGTACAGTGGGTGGCAGATCCAAAGCAGCGTTTCATTGGGCCTATTTTATTTTTGACGGTGATAATAGCTTTGTTTCTATTAATTTATTGTTTTTTTTAGTTAGCGTGTTTGTTTTTATGTGTGGTCCTTTTTGTTGTGCATATGTTTTATGTGGAACGGGTTGAGTGGATGCGCAGGTGTGTGCCTAGAGCTGCTCCCGCGTTTATTGGTTGGACGAGCAAGATGCTCCGTGAACGGGAGTTTGCTGAGATCCGTGGTGGGGGGTTTGGGTTTGGGGCTTTGACTCCACGGTTTTGCGAGGTTCCACTACCTGGCCAGCCAAGCGATGATCTTCAGAGGGAGGGTGACGGTGTTGAAGGGGGCCCGTCTGTTGGTCCTGTGGATGATGATCAGGGAAAGGTATCCTATCTCTCTAGCTGCTGCATTTTTTCTTGCTTTCTTTGGTTGGATCAGTATTGCTATGTGCACATGGGGGTGGGGGTGGGTGGGGAACATGGCACACCCTGATATGTGCTATAGCACTGGGGTTTGCACAGGGGTGCACAAACTGCATTATGTTGGGGGTCATGTTTCGATTTGTGGTTAAGGGGGGCGGGGGTGTTGGTTGTGTGTGTGTGTGTTGGGTGTTGTTTAATTATGTTATTGTCCTATGTGTGGCAGCCTTTGATTGACCGGGTTGTTGAGAAGGCAAGGGCTGTGGCACGCTCTGTTTTGGAGTTGATTCAGGTGATTCATGAGGCTAGTGGGGCTAAGTCTAGTACACAGACGGATAGCCTCATCCAAGTCCTGAGCGCTTCGCATTTGATGCTAGGGAGGGGCTTACAGACGTCTGGTCAAGGTGGGGATTCTCAGGGGTCTACACAGTCGTTGTTCACGCCGTCTCAAGATGCTTTTTGGGCTAACCCGGAGAATGTGCGTGCACTCGGAGAGATTGAGCGTGCCATTCAGGAGCGTAATGCGATGTTGGACATTCCGTCTTTTAGCCTCGGGTTGACTCAGGATTGGCCTTCGCAGCGGTGGGATGAGGTTGTGGATGTGGGGCGCCAGTATGATGATGTTGTCGGGGTTGTTGATGTTGCCCGAGTTGATCCACCGAATATCCGTGTGAGCGATGTTGATCCACCTGTTGTTCGGGAGAGAGATGTAAGTATTGTCTACATGCGTAAAAAAATTAGGAAGTCTGTAATCTAGGCTAGCTCTCTTGGACTTTTGGGGGTTTTTTGGTTTTGTGTGATGCTGTCATTGTGGGTGTAGTACATGTTTTGTGTATGGAAGGCAGCTTGTTTTTTTGTTTAGGTGGTTGTGTTGTATTAGTTGATTTGTAAGTATGACAGTGTTTTAGGTTGGTGTGTTATTTTGTCCTGGAGGCTGTCAAATTATGTAAACTCTTGACGGATATGCTCTTCAATTGTATGGTTTTGGTTGGTTAATTTGCCCTTTCGGGTATTGCTGTATAGTATGGCACACGCGGTTCACCCTATGTGCACATCTGGGACTTTCTCATTGTCCACCAATTTTGTTTCTTTAGCCGTATGGGTTGTTGTGGTGGTTGTTTAGACTTTTTTTGTTTTTATTTTGATTGCGTAGTCAGATTGTCTGGGTGGTCTCACAAGCATGCATGCACACTGTCTTCTACACAAGTGCACAGTGTCTGCTGCTCAGGTGCATACTGTCTGCTGCACAGGTGCACACTGTTTAATTTGCTACATAGGTGCACGCTGTTTGCTACAAAGGTGCACACTGCTAGTTTTGGAATTATTGTGTTTAATTGGTACATTTTTTTCTTCCGTCTCTGTTGAACATGCCATTACAAACCCCCGCCCGTCCCTCACATTTTGGTGGGGATGGAGGTGTGCCACAAGATGCGAATGCAAATGCTAAGGATGGATGCCCAATGGTTTGTGGTCTGCAGTGTGTCACCCCTGTCCAGGTATTGGCCCTTCTTGAATTGTCAGCTTGTTGTTTTTGTTATCTTGGTCTTCTGTTGATAAATTACCCTACTAACCTTTTTAATTTGTTATCTTAATGATTGATTGACTTCGATCCAAAGGCTGAGATGGGTTCTTATGTTCTCACCTATTGAGTGCATGGATCCTACTAGAAAGGGCACCATATATATATATATATATATATATATATATATATATATATATATATATATATATGTACACGGAGTATTATAATTTAATAAAATAAGAATAGTTAATAGTTTTTTTTTTCGAAGAATAGTTAATAGTTAATTTAGTGTTACTGTCACTATTTTGATATTGTAATCGAATTAAAATGATCAATGCAAGACGAATATGATTGTTGGATATTTATATGGAATGAAATAAGTTTGAACAAAATATCATAGTCATCCTATGTCCTTTATGGTGGTACTTTAACAAAGCTTTGGATTAACTATTGTCGGAAGTGCTTCTTTCAAAATAAGTAAATGCATGCAGTGTTTTTTCTAGAAGTATTCATTCCGGAAAAAGCAAATGTAACACTTTCGGTAATAATTGGTTGGAAAATTGAACGACACGACTAAATGTAAAATTTAGCCCTCTTAAAAACAACAAACAAAAGAAAATCCCCAATTTCCTAGTGCGAATTAGAGGAGCGGTAGGTCTTGCAAGCTTATTAAGCGAAATGTCAATTTTAACCCTCTTAAAAATGAAGAAATTTTCCTCCGGAAAAGTGGTCGGAAGGACCTTTTTGCCAAAAAAAAAAAAAATAGTCGTGGACTAAAATTGCAAGGTTTGAAAGTCGTGGATCAATTCTGATAGTCCCACTATAGTCGTGGGACCAAAAGTGCAAAAAACTCGTGATGCAAATTATATAGTCATCCACCTAATTAGAAAATTTTAATAGTCAATGACCAAATGCGATTCATGTATAATAATCAATGGACTAAAAGTGAAATTTTCTCTAAATATTATGAACATAGTACGAGATAAATGTTATTAAACATGATGCGTTTTGTAGTAATATTTATATACATTAAACTTTATTTTTATGAACATTATGAACCTACTATAGAGTGAATGTAAATACATATGATGTATTGATGTATATTTAGTTTAGTGTTTATGAACATTAATGTTTATGTTTATGGACATATAAAACAAATATTCTGAGTATACACGATAAATATTATTAAACATTATACGTTCATAGTAATTGTCTATGTACATTAAGCTTTATTTTTATGAACATATAGAATGAATATTATGAACCTACTATAGAGTGAATGATAATGTGTATAATGTACATTTAGTTTAGTGTTTATGGACATATCACATATAGAACAAATATTATAAACATAGTTTATGATAATGCTATTAAATATGATGTACTAATTGACATTTATTTAATATAAAATGATGTCGTTTTATACCATGATCCACTATGAAAGGTGACCCTGGTCCACCATGGAAGCAACACGCATAGCCTGAACTTACTAAAGAAATATATTATCTTAGAAATCTTAAAAAATACACATAGTTTGCAGTTACTAATATTACATTTAGTGTAATAGTTTAGTAGATGCAAATTCTAATACTTTTGGGCAGCCAAATACATTATTTGTTGTGCTGATTACATTTAATTAAATTTTCAAATTCAAAATTTGTGTCTACCAAAATTACTTTGCACTCTAAAACTTTTAGATGTCTACATTATCTAAAATCCTGAAATTTCAGAAATTGTCAATAATTATATGTAAAGTGACAATTTTAATTTATACGAAAAAAAATATTAGATATACATCCATTATTTTTAAAACGGACATCTTATATGGGCTATAATGTTAGTTCCCTGGGCAGGTTTGCTTTGCAACATGCTTTGATTCTAATAATATTTTTGCTGAACTTCAAGCAAAAGAAGAAGGATTTTGAGCCTAAAGTCTACATCTGTTGATATAGTTTATTGGTAAACTTATATATAAACTAAAAACCGTTGTTGAAATGTTGTTTTAACATGCAAAATTAATTAATAACTTCTTCGGCTCTTCCTTATATTCAGTGAGGTGAAAGATGATAATCTCCTGAAATCAGTTGATATTACATAAGGTGACCATACACAATTTTTGACATTGGTAAAAAATCATTTTATTAGTAAATATACAATACTATCTTAGGAATTTACAATTGAATTCATAAGACTTTCATTAAACTTTTCATCAAAAAGAACCTTCGGCTTCTGGTTCCTTAAATAAATTATTTTCTTAATATTCATGTTATTTATTTTTAATTATTCAGTTGTTTAAATTTTTTTATTTTACAATCTTCTTCTCTTTTTAAAATTTTTATTCCTAATATAATCTACATAATCGCCTCTTGTTTATATGTTCTTCTGAAATATATATAAATGTTTTATACTTATGGAATCTAAAATATATAAATGTTTTAACTCAAATCGCTTGATTTAAAAATGCCCAACTTTGTCATAATATTAGTGTTTGGAAGGACCCTTGGCTACCTAACCGTTCCTCTCCTTTTATTACAACACCAATGCCGGAGTACTTGGCTGAAGCAAGGGTCCAGTCTCTGCTAGATACTAACGGTAGAAACTGGGATATCGAGCTGCTTGAGGACATCTTTGAACCTGCTGATAGAGCCCAAATTATGAGTATTCCTGTTCCTCTTGGGTGTCACACTGACATAATTATCTGGAGGCAAGAGAATAAGGGATTGTATTCGGTCAAGAGTGCATACAGAGTATTACGTGGTGAATTCCCTTACCCACAATCTGTCAGTTGGCCTGATATTTGGAGACTGCCTATTCCACCGAAAATCAAGTCCTTTGTGTGGCAACTTTGTCATAATATTCTTCCCACTGCTGATAACCTTATCATGAAGAAAGTTGCTGCTAATCCCCTGTGTGTGTTGTGTTCCAGCCATGTCGAGACAGCTACTCATTTATTCATGCATTGTATTTTTGCCAAAGCTTGCTGGAGTGAGCTCAAAGTGGTTCCGTTTCCGGACAATCTTCTCCCACGGGATTGGCTTCAACAAACTGTGCAGAATCTTGAACCTTGCCTCTCCAGTATCATTCAGACGGTAGCGTGGCAGATATGGACTGAACGGAATAATAGGATTTGGAATGGTCTCAAAGCTTCTCATTTCACTGTTATTGTAGAGGCCAGGTCCTTCTTACTGGCGTGGCAGCAGGTCCACCATACGTCCCCATCTGTTACTAGATCTAATCTCACTCAGAAATGGGAGAAGCCTGCACATGGTTGGTTGAAGATAAATTCTGATGCAGCAGTGGACTCCAACTCTATGACTACTGGCTTTGGTTTCGTTGTAAGAGACTCGCAAGGTGCGTTCGTGGCAGCAGCAAGCTCATCATGGTCAGGAATTCTCGAACCCAGAATTGCAGAATCTATTGCCATCAGAGAAGCGCTAAGCTGGTCAAAACAGAAAGGCTTGGACACTTTTTGCGTTGAATCTGATGCTCAGCTGGTCATTCAAGGAATTAAATCTCATGGCTGCAACTCTTATTTTGATCTTGTTCTTAATGACATTTGTGATTTAGCTAGTGTTTTTTCTAACATTAGCTTTTCGTTTGTTAAGCGATCCGCGAATTCGGTTGCCCACTTGTTAGCTCGGGATGCCGTTTCTAATGCTGGTTGCAGGGAGTGGAATGTTTATCCCCCTTCCTTTGTATCTGTTGTTCTTTCGGCTGAAGCCGTTTAATGAATGATCTCTCGTTTCCTCAAAAAAAAAAAAAAAAAAAAAATGCCCAAGATTGGTCCTTCAATTTTTAGATGTAATGTTTATAGTACATATGCTCTTAAATGTTTGCTAATGGTAAGTTAACACATGACTTAATTCAGGTTTGGATACAAGATGTGATGCCTAACATAGAAGGGATGTAACTCTTACGGGAAGAAAAAGACATTTAAACAAATTTTACATCAATGTGCTTTCTTCATAAAATACGTCATTTTACATGTAACAAAAATGGTATTCTCAAACAAAACAACTACTATTACTTATTTTTAGATGTTCAATTCAATAAACAACATAACCTAAAAACTACACTGTCTAATAGTTGCTTTGCCACTTTCATTTTGAAAACTTGTAGGACCAGTAAGCAACATATTTTTATGAGATATTAGAAACAATGAAAAATACATGTTAACTAAATAACACAAGGACTTTCAAAAAAAAAAAAAAAAATAACACAAGGAGAAAATAGTTGTAAAATAACGTTCAATACCCTTAAAATTACAAATGTATATATTCATCATAATCAATTTGTATTTCTTGTGTAAAAATTCAATACATTAACAAAATAAACTTTATGTGAATATTTATGAAACTTCGTCAAATAAAAAAAAAAAAAAAAAAAAAAAAAAAGCACTTCACAAATGTAATTTATCAATTTTAAAATAATTTACTAATCGAGTTTCAACATTAGGCACAAGTTTTCGCGCAAAGCGCGTACAAAAAGCTAGTATATATATATATGAACATAATTTGGGGTGTATTTGTTTTAGATTTAGATTTAGATTCAGATTAGATATACAATTATACATAATTGGCCGCCCCATATTAAATAATGAATTTTACACATCTCAACAACCGGGCCGGTGCATGGAAATATCATTATATTGTGGTTGGAGTCTTTAAAAATAGTATTTGGTAGTGTTTTAATTTGTCAACGGAACGGAAAGGTATCAATCAACCAGCTAAGCATAAAAGGGTACATACGGTTACGATTGAAGGCAGTGGCGCTGTGCCAAACTACCCATTTAACAATCTATCAAGCTTAGCTGCAGTAGTAGTACCCATACTGGTGAAATGCAAGCCGCTATGGTCATTGATCAGATGAACCCGGTTCTATACAAAGCACTGGTGGAAGGCAATGTTGAAGATTACAAAGCAGTGATGCCGGAAGAAGCTCGCCGGCGTCAAGTTACGCCAAAGGGCAATACTGTACTGCACGTTGCAGCGATCCATGGTCACAAAGATTTGGTGGAAGAGATCCTAAAAGAAGTAGAGGATGATTATGATGCAGCCATGTCGGCCCTGTTGTTTGCGAAGAACAGGAGAAATGAAAGTGTGCTACACTGTGCAGCAGAGAAGGGCTATGACGGCGTAGTCTCTGTCATCTTCAGCGCTATTAATAAGAAGCCTAGAGGAGATGTGGAATCTGGAGCAGTTGGTCGAGTGAGGGAGATGATAGAGATGATGGATGATGTGAAAGACACGGCTTTGCACAAGGCCGTGCGAATGGGGTATTTGAAGGTGGTAAAGTTATTGATTGAAGAGGATCCTGAATTTGAGTACACTGCCAACGACGCTGGGGAAACGCCCATTTACATAGCAGCAGAGTCGCAATTTAGCGATTGTTTGGAAGAAATGCTCAACACATGTAGAAAACCTACTTATGGTGGGCCATTTCGGCGAAATGCCCTTCACGGAGCAATATTATCAAGTACATGCTAATTACTAAACGAAAGGGTCTTGTTTGGTTCGCTCTATTTTCTATTTTTTATTTTTTGTTAGGATCGAAACGGGTTCACAATATCAAATTTACAATAGCAACTTGAACTGAAAATATTGAGAATAAAATTTTTGTATAATATTTAAAATAAATCATACACAAAATAAGACAAATTGAAGAAGAATTTTTCTGCATTGGCAAAAGGATAATACAATAGGAATTACAAATATAACTCTCTATTTTTACTCTCTGTATTTTGCTATACTCTCCGTAAATTTCGAATGGGATGGATGATCTAATAAATGAAGGATGTTGCCTTATTTATAGCAACTCATGTGTCTAGATATTTCCAAGTTAGAACCCATGTGCCTAGAGATTCCAAAAATTTAATAAGATTATTCTTTCCCTACAAGTTTTCTACAAAACATATGTCCAGACATGCTTTTCCCCTTAGGCAAACCTCCTCCCAAGTTCCCTTGGGAAACTTCCTCCCAAGTTCCTTTAGGAAATCTCCTCCCAACCTCTGCCCATTACACATTCCGACTTTAATATTTATAAATCTCTCACTTAAAGTCATAATGTGGATCTTCATCCTTTTTGTCAATTCCCTGTTGCTTGCATTCCTATTAGACCAATTGAGGATCTACACCATACGAATTTATGGTTGGTAATAGGCTTTGTTAACATATCTGCCAGGTTATCTTTAGTATGGATTTTCTGTATATCCATACTTCCTTCTTCCACCTTTTCACGAACAAAGTGATACTGAACTCGTATGTGTTTCGTCTTGGAATGAAATGCTGGATTCTTTGTTTAGTACAAAGCGCTCTGACTATCACAGAATAGAGACATTTTCTCTAATTTGTGCCCGAGCTCCTCCAATAGCATTTGCAACCATATTGCCTCTTTACTAGCTTGAGTAGCCGCTATATATTCTGCTTTCATCGTTGAAGTTGCCACAACCGACTGCAACTTCGAGACCCAGCTTACTGATCCGCCAGCAAGAGTAAACACATAACCCGTAGTGGATTTACTACAATCAAGATTACCTGCATAATATGAATCAACGTAGCCTTTAATGACGAAGTCTGATCCTCCATAACACAATGCAATATCTAAGGTACCCTTGATATATCTAAGTATCATCTTCACAACACTCCAATGCTCTCTACTAGGATTCGCCATGTATCGACTGACCGATCCCACTACTTGTGCAATGTCTGGTCTAGTGCAGATCATAGCAAACATTAAACTGCCCACTGCTGGTGCATACGGTACTCGAGACATCTCCATCCTCTTTGCTTCGTTGCTAGGACTCATACTTGGGGATAACTTGAAATTAATAGAAAGAGGGGTAGAAATTGGCTTACAATCTTGCATGTTGAAGCGCCGCAAGATTTTCTTCAGATAATTCTGCTGAGAAAGCCAAATCTTCCTAGAATTTGCATCCCTAGAATCTTGTTTGCTGGTCCCAAGTCCTTCATTTCAAATTCCCTAGCCAGTTTAGCCTTCATCTCCGTGATACGATCATTGTTAAGGCCTACTACCAACATGTCGTCAACATACAACAGCAAGATGATAAACTGATTATCATTAAATCTCTTGCAATATGCGCAAGGATCGAAATTAAACCTGTTGTATCCAAGGCTCTAAATGAATGAATCAAATCTCTTATACCAACATCTCGGCGCCAGTTTGAGACCGTATAGAGATTTGGTCAACTTGCAAACCAAGTTCCCTTTCCCTTCTTCCTCAAAACCTTATGGTTGGAGCATAAAAATCTCTTCTTCAAGTTCTCCATGTAGAAACGCAGTTTTCACATCCAACTGCTCAAGATACAAGTCAAACACAGCACACATCGCCAAGACTGCCCGAATTGTTGTAAGTCGTACAACAGGAGAAAATATCTTATTGAAGTCGACTCCTTCTTTCTGAGCAAATCCTTTCACAACTAATCGAGCACGATACCGTTCCACTTGATTGTTGCTATCTCGTTTGATCTTATAGACCCATTTGTTTCCAATAGCCTTCCTTCCTCGTGGTAACGGGACAAGTTCCCATGTTTTATTCTTATGGAGAGCTTCAATTTCTTCTTGCATTGTTGTTATCCACAGAGATGCATCTGGACCTTTCATAGCCTCATGGTAAGTTAAATGCTCACCATCTTCTGTTAGTAGACAGTATGAAATATTTCCCTCCATAGAATAATCTGAGTGTCAAGCTGGTTGTCTCCTTTCCTGAGTTGATCGTCGAACTTCTGAAGTTTAAGACTCAGCTTGCTCTTGTTCATCATGCTTTATTGTTGCTTAAGGGGAAACTGGAATTTCTTCTTTCTTCCTTCCCTCAACTTGTACTATTGTTTTCACTGGTTTCTCCTTCCCAGTGCTTTCACTTTCTTGTATCTTGCCTTCTACAAATAAAACATCCCTACTGATGATAACCTTATGGGCAGTGGGATCCCACATGCGATACCCCTTAACTCCATCAGCATACCCCAAGAAAACACATTTTCTTGATTTTGGATCAAGTTTTGATGTTTCTTGAGCGTTGTATATTACATATGCCGGACTCCCAAATGTATGTAAGTGAGAATAACTAGATGGCTTACGCGTCCACATTTCCATTGGCATTTTCAGATCAATTGCGGTTGATGGTGACCGATTAATCACATAACAGGCTGTTTTGACTGCTTCAGCCCAAAATGACTTTGCCAAAATTGTAGTCCTCAACATTGCCCTTGTTCTTTCCAACAAGGTTCTGTTCATCCGCTTTGCCACTCCATTTTGTTGTGGAGTATACGCCACCTTGAGCTGTCATTTGATACCTTCTTGTAGACAGAATTTATCAAATTCATCACTAGTATATTCTCCTCCATTATCCGGCCTCAAACATTTGATCCGTTTCTCGGATTCAAGTTCCACATGCACTTTGAAGAATTTGAAAACTTCAAATACATCCGCATTCCGCTTGATTGGATACACCCAACATCTCCTTGAGTAGTTGTCGATGAAGGATACAAAATATTTTGCATCTCCTAGGGATATAACTGGTGTTTGCCAAACATTGGAGTGGATTAGTTCCAAGATAGCCTTGCTCCTTTCTTTAGAGCTCTCGAACTTCAATCTATGCTGCTTACTTGTAACACAATGCTCACATAAAGTTAATGAAACCTTTGTTAGCCCTGGAAAAAGATGTTGATCAGCAAGAATCTTTTGACCTCGTTCTGACATGTGGCCAAGTTTTTTATGCCACATCATCATTGATTCCTCCATAAGATTGTCTACTGCAACGGCCGCTTCTCCTTGTAGTTGTGTTTCTCCTTTAAGCATGTATAGACTGGTTTCTATCTTCTCGGCTTTCATCACAACAAGCACGCCCTTGATTACTTTGATGATCTCATCCTGAATGTGAATTTTACATTCACGGCTATCTAATTGTCCTAGAGACAATAGATTTTCTTTAGGCCCTTCACGTGTCGTACCTCTTGGATAGTGCGAACCGTACCATCAAACATTTTTAGTTTAATAGTACCAATACCAGCCATTTCTAAGGCATGATCATCTCCAATGAACACAGATCCTCCAGACACAGGTTCATATTCATGAAACCATTCTTTCCATGAGGTCATATGCCATGTTGCTCCTGAGTCCATTAGCTAGACATCAGCTAGACTTTTCCTGCCTTCAACAATTGTTGCTGCTTCTCCAAATAAAACTTCGCCTCCATCCGATGTACTCACAACACATCCCTGAGCATTTGATGTCTTGGGATTTTTGCCTTTGGTCTCATTCTTCTTGAGCTGTCAACACTCACTCTTGTAGTGCTTCTTTTTGCCACGGTGAAAACACTTGACATTCTTCTTACCCCTTGACTTTGATCTACCTCGGCTGTGACTCCCACTGGAGCCTGGCTCCGTTGATCTTCCTCTTGTCACTGTCAACGACTGAGATTGTTGTGAAATTCTAACTTTGTCTTCTTTGTTTTTGCGCCGACTTTCCTCTTCAAGAACCGCAGCTGCAATATCGTCGAAGACAAGTACCTCCTTGTTGTTGACTAGATTTATAATGAGTTGATCATATGAATCCGGTAGACTTTGGAGTAAGATTTCAGCACGTTCATTCACTTCTATTTTATAACTCAAAGCCAAAAGTTGTGAAAATAAAGTGTTGGGAGTGTTGATGTGCTCAGTTAGTGATGATGTCTCCATCATCCTGAGAGTGTATAGCTTCCTCTTCAAGAAGATCTTGTTGTGCAGTGATTTGGCCTCATACAAATTTAGAAGAGTATCCCATACCTCTTTTGTCGTACCTTCTTCCGCCACACTTGACAAAACTTCAACAGCAAGTGCTAAGTGCAGATTGGCAATAACGTTGCTATCCATTTCTGTCCACTTCGCATCATCAGTGAAATCGGCTGGTCTTTCTTCAATTGCTGCTACGCAGTTATCTTTCCTAATAACTACTTTCATTCTCATTTTCCACAAAGAGAAATTGTTACCTTTGAACTTTTCAATCTCATACTTTGCCGTTATTGTAAGTGGTGTTCTTGATTCAAATCCTGAACAATATATCTAAATAGTATTGTATAATAAAATAATACCGGCCTTTAGAATTTACCAGTATTTATTCTAACATAAACAATACAAAAAGATATATCTATGAACCAACCTGTGGCTCTGATACCCCTTGTTAGGATCCATGGGTTCACAACACCAAATTTACAATAGCAACTCGAACTGAAAATATTGAGAATAAATTCTAGTGTAAGATTTAAAATAAATCATACACAAAACAAGGAAAATTGAAGAAGAATTTTTCTGTATTGGCAAAAGGATAATACAATAGGAATTACAAATATAACTCTCTATTTTTACCCTCTGTATTTTGTTATACTCTCTGTAAATTTTGAATGGGATGGATGATCTGATGAATGAAGGATGTTGCCTTATTTATAGCAACCCATGTGTCTAGATATTTCCAAGCTAGAACCCATGTGCCTAGAGATTCCAAACATTTAATGATATTCTTTCCATGCAAGTTTTCTACAAACCATATGCCCAAAAGTAACCCCATGTTTTCCCCTTAGGCAAACTTCCTCTCATGTCCCCTTGGGAAACCTCCTCCCAAGTTCCCTTGGGAAACCTCATCCCAAGTTCCTTTAGGAAATCTCCTCCCAACCTTACCCAGGCAAAACCTCTGCCCATTCCACATTCTGACTTTAATATTTACAATTTTTTGGTTTCAAAACAACTTAAATTCCTAAATGAGGAAAATATTTTCTTTAATTTAGTCTATCTTCTTTCATTTGTGTTCACTTGGTCATGCTCACTTTTCGTCTCTAAGCTATCATCAGCGTTGCACTTTTGGTTCTTTTATTAACTTTTTATACTCACTTTTCGTCCATAAGTTGTCCTAACATTTTAAATTTCATCCATAACTTTTTGGTAGTAAAGAGATGATGAAAAGTGTAAAGCAAATGATAACTTAAGGACGAAAAGTGAACAAACTCAATAATTAAAAACGAATTCTACAATTACTTTATAACATAGGGATGAAAAGTATAATTTTCCCGTTCAAAAATATAAAATTTATTTTGTACATAAATATGCACATATTATTTATGAAAAAAACTTGTGTATTACTGTCTCACGGGTCTCAATCCGTGAGACGGGTTAGATATTTAATTAATGAGGTCAAATATCTGATCCATTAATCAAAGATCCGACCCATCTCACGGATTGAGACCCATGAGATGGACACGCAAGTGTTACCCATTATTTATATACAAAATTTTGTATACGTACATCTAAAATATTTTCTGAAAATATAATCACCATTATAGAATTTTAACAAAAATTAATTTTCGTACATGATGTCCAGGTATATCTGATGGTGCACTATCAGAAACGGAAAAGTCTCAGCTAAGTTTTGGCTCTATACACATGGATACAACAGGTCAGATTTAGGTTGTGTTTGGTTGTAGATTTTTGTATCTTATTATGATATTTAATACCAAAATTTATTATTAGATTCAAATCTAGTAATTATGAATCTCATTACTCTTTTTATCCCCTACTTTTAAACAATGAAATAAAAAATTTTGAAAGAAAAAAAAAAAAACTAATTGTCAATGCATTATTTATTTATTTTGATTCCAATTCGTATTTATTATCAAACAAGACTTTTTATACTTAAATTCAATACTATTATATTACTAAATATATTTGATTTCAATTGTTATTTCAATTCTAATATTTGGACCAAACGCACGTACGAAATACTAAACTGGCAACTACCATCTAATCTAACAAATTATATATATATATATATATATATATATATATATATATATATATATATATACATTCTTCCAAAAGGAAGAACCCCAACCCCGGCCCGATGGAGCATTTGGGAAGATGTAAAGCATGGTGACTCAACTGAACATGAACCACAGAGGCTAGACCGGTGCTCACTGCGCACAAGGAGCCCCCTCACTTTGAGAGGTTGCTCCCACACTGCCGCTAGTGTGACTCGATCCCTAGTCATTCTTCCAAAGTTTCACCTCTATGACCAGTTGAGCTACCCATGCGGGTTATATATATATATATATATATATATATATATATATATATATATATATATATATATATGTGTGTGTGTGTGTGTGTGTGTGTGTGTGTGTGTGTGTATATGTATGTATGAATGTATATATGTATATATATATATATATATATATATATATATATATATATATATATATGTATATATGTGTGTGTATATATATATATATATATATATATATATATATATATATATATATTGAATAAAAAAATGTTAATATAATACATAGAATGTTGCCTGTATTTTGTGCTTCTTGTTTTATAATTGTAAGAATAAGGTTTCTGTGAGACCGTCTTGTTAGTTTTACTGTCACGGGATAGTCGGACGACGGGCTAACATGACCGAAAAATACTAAGTAAAAAGTGAGAGGAATTTGATATAGTAGGAAAATAAATAATTGAAAGGAAAAAAATAAAGTAGACAATATTTTAATGTGAAAATCGAAAGATAAAAAAATGAAACTTTTTGGGCAAGGCCTAGCCAAAATCCACAATAATTTGTAGGTAGCCAGTACATGTACAATTTGTGTTCCATAGAGAGATGTAGATATATGAATGATTGAACCCCCCTTTATTGTATTAACTAGGGCCTTTTATAGTAAAAGAAAATTACAAGACATATGGTAATGTGGTATGTTAATAATAATTAGATATTTATGATAGAGTCGAATATTTAATGGAAAGTAGATGGATTTAGGAAATGTATAGGGATTTAAGAAACATAAACATATTTAGGTAGTGAAGGTGATTTAGGAAATATAAATGGATTTAAGCAATATAAAGATATTTAGGTAATGAGAGATGATATGAGGTGAAAAATATTATTTAGGGAAACAATTTATATGGGTTGAGTTGCCTAATCTCGGGATTTTCATATAATTCCTTCTTCCACCGCCAAAGATAACTGGCTACCAAGGATGATTGCCTGTCAAAACTAGATGGTCATGATTTGAGTGTTGAGTGCCAAGTGCTAGATCCGACTGGCTGACTAGTAGGGAAGTAGTTTGTATGGGTTGACTTGCCTAGCTAATCTCAGGATTGCCATATAATTCCTTCTTCCACTGCCTAGGATGATTGGCTAACAAAGATGACTGCCTTCCAAGAATAACTACCTGCCATGACTTGTTGGTCATGATCTGAGTGCTGAGTGCCAAGTGCTAAGTCTGACTGGGTACCCATACTGGATGGGTATCCATCATGTCGTCTCATTGTGAGACTTATACTGTAATAATTTTTAATGTAATAAATTTAATGAATGTATAAAAAAGTATTACATTTTAATTAAAAAGTATTACATTTTAATTAAAAAGTATTACACGTTTTAAGACACTCATACACACTTTATTTTTAGTATTTTCTTTCAATTTACCTTTACGCATCACCCTTATTCACATTTTTAGTTGGTTACCATTACATTTTCAGTTACTTTTAATATATAAATAAAAATATAATAGGTCTTTCTTACCATAGGTAATTCTTTGTTATAATTTTAAGGATCACACTCAAGGATAAAAATATTTCACTAAAATTATTCATCATTTAACGTGATAATATAATAAGTAAATTATTTTCTTTTAAGATGTTGTGAAGTTAGTCAATTCGAATAATTTTAATTTCTTTTCTTTACATTTTACTCATCACCTTTTAGGAATTTTTTTTTTGTTATTATAATTTTTACGGAAGAAAACATACAACACCAGTACAAATTAATGAAATTACATACATAAAAGCGCGATAATGTCAACTCAACACAATAAGTCCCCATTAATAGCAGCCTAACACGTTAAAATGCGTCTGACAAAAAGAAAAGGATCGCAGAGTAAAATCCTAATTAATTTGCTCCACAGTTATTAGCTCCTTCATGCCATTTTTTTCTTTCAAACTGTACCGATTGTGGATTAAATAATGTCTTCTTTTTTTTTTTAATTACAAATTAAATGCCTTTATCAATTGTATAATTTGTATATATGACAAAATATATAACATTACATTATTATCATGATTTTTTATTTTTTTATTTTTTGAAAATGTGAAGTGTTTGCGATTCTTATTTCATTATTTTATTAATGTGATATTTTATTAATATGATAAATGCATATATTCATCATGCACGATTTAATATAATGATCATCAATCATAATGTAATTCTGATAAAAATGAGTTTTCCTACCTGATATACAGCTATTTATGACGGCGCAATAACACCGGTGGGAGGATCAATTCGGGCTATGCTGAATGTTCTCAAGTCTTCTATCGAACGCTTACATGGAAACGACGGTAAAACTTTGTATAACGTCGAATAGAACACTAAATTGGCAACTAAAATACGAGTAAAATATTATTTTAGGAATAGAGACAGTAGCATTAAAAAAATTATTATTATAGGAAAATGCATCTTACCCCTTCTGAATTTCCCTTCTCATATTTTCACTGCTTATGTGATTTCATTTATTGGATATTTAGAAATTGGTTAATCGGTCACTAATTAAAAAAGTAACTAATTAGATAAGTAACTAATTAAATAATGTCATATTATGAGGGATGAATTGAAAGGAAAAATTAAGAAAATATAAATATATGACATTAATACTCTATATTATATTTATTTATACTTTTTACTTTATATAAGACCATCTCACGTGAAATATATAATTTTTTTATATAAAAAAATATAATAATTTTTAATGCTTAGGAGATATAGGAAAAAATGTAATTTGTGTTTAAGTTTGACTTATGATTATTGTACATTTTGTTGACTATTTTTAAGTTGATTGATTCTACATAAATGTATACACACTTTGTATGTAATTAACATTCACGGCTGGAAATTATGGAATTTTCGACCACTTAAAATTTATTTTAAATCAAGTCGAAAGCAAAAAGTGGTCGGAAATAGCAACAAAGATTTTTTCGAATACCAAAAATGATCGGAACAAGACTTTCGACTTGATTTAAAATTACTTTTAGATGGTCGAAAATTCCATAATTTCTAGTAGTGATTGTGCAAATTTTTTTATATCAATTGGTTATTCTTAAAGTGCATAATAAGTTTTTGTACATGATAGATTTCCATGGCGTTGATAACATCGCAAAAAAGAGAAATCCGAGTCAGGTGGTGCTGCCAACTGGTAATATATCCATTGCTAAAACTTTATTTAAACTAGCAAAATTAATAATTTAAAAAGAGATTAGCAATACATTATTTATATTTGATTGATCTATATATACTAAATACGGTTGGAAAAAATAGCATAAAATGAAATTATAAGTGGCTATTTTATTTTATTTACAAATATATGTGGGGTGTACTTCTTATTTGGGTCGGGCCAAAGTGAATTTAAGTTTTTCGTGTTGAGCATATATATAATATAAACAAAAATGTGTAATCCAACTATTAACTTAGGCTTCTAGTTGAGATGAATCACATGCTTCAACGTGGTATGAGAGCCAATTCCAACCTCTTGCCAAATTAAAGTTTATGACTCATAATCTTTCACCCGATAAAAAAAGACTATGGTCCACGTGTTGCTTGGAGCCCATAAAAAAGTAATCGGGCAGCACACGTAAGGGGGCGTATTGATCATATAATACATAAATATAAATACGCAATCCAACAGGGATCACATGCTTCAATTATTCGTAGTAAGACGAAGGGATTGATATATTGTACGCTCAAAACGGACAATTGGTATGGTTAATGAAAAATTGATTATCAAAGTATATCCATTTGAATTGGAAAATAGAGGTGAAAATGCATGAAACAAGCACTTGTCCCACATTGAAAAAAGAATGGGATTTGCAATAGTATATATACAAAGCTTTTAGAATAATGTTGAATTGTGTAGCATAGAGCGTCTCTCTTGCATGCAAGATTGATTCCTAAACCTTTTGCTTCTTGTGCTTGTTACCTTGGAAATAATCTGTTGTAGCTTGTCGAATTACACTCCTAACAAATACTTTCATTTTTTTTTTAAATGCTACTGTCTCCACTAAGGCTCAAACTCACAACCTTCTAAATGAAAATCCAACCCAAGTACCATTAGATCACATAGTCTTAACAAGTACTTTCATAAGTATGAAAGTTTTGAAGTTTTGTGCTTGTTACGTTGGAAATAATCTTTTGTAGGATTACACTCCTAACAAGTACTTTCATAAGTATGAAAGTTTATGTAAAAATAAAAAAATAAAATTAAAGCACAGAGAAAATAGGTAACTACAAATGATTAGATAGGTAAATCTATGATTTATAAAGTCACTCATACACCAACTATTATGAGTGTGATGATATTTCTTATTCATTTCAAAATAGGTGAGCATAGGATCAAACCCTAATGGTGGGGGCATTAAAGTTTCATGAGTGTTTGAAAATCATGATAATTAGTCATTTTTTACAAAACATTTTTTTATTTCTAGTGTTAGGTTGCATTCCAGATAATGACTTAGTGTGTTTGTTTCATTTTTTTTAGAAAGTGAGCAGAATTGTACATAATTAAACATTTTAATTGTTTTGTTTAAAATATAAAATTAATAATAATAATATAATAATAATAATTTTAAATATAATAATAAACTAATAAGATATCAAAATAACTAATCAAAGCCTTTAATTCAAAATAACAAACCAACTTAAAATAACCAAAGTTTTACAATCTACTACATTTACGAACAATGATTACTAAAAAGTCTTACAATCTAAAATAAAGTGTTAGAATCCAACATAACCCACTAAAAAGGAATACATAATCTAATTCAAAGAAGAAATAAAGCTCTTAATCCATTTCATCTTCAAGTTTGTACTTTTCACCTTGAAAATTCTTGATACTTCATTTGTCATCAAAAATTCAAATGCTTTACATAAGTCCTCCCATGAAAGCCATCACCTATTGTCATCACTTATCTTGTTGATACAATTCATTTTCATCAATACCAACAATACTCAATGATTCAATTGCTGCTGCAATGTTACCAAACTGTTTTGTCATTTCATCAACCTTCAAGTCAATTGACTTTCTCTATGATCGGATTTTTGAGATGAAGTAGCAGTTGATGCATATGTTCTTCCCCTAGTATCTTCATCATTTTGGTCAGGCACATTTTCATGATATATGTCATCCAATTCATTGGTACCCTCTAAATTAACATCTGCAAAAGACTTTGCGAACCTTCTTAGTTCCTATTGCACAATCTCATGTAATACTTAATTTTCCTGTTAAATAAGGTTCATACTTAGGAGTAGCTTATGAATAAAATATCATAACAAATATATCACAATTCTATCAATCACTTGTTGAACAAAATATATCTATAATATCAAATATCAAATCCATTCCAACAAATATATCAAATTATCAATATCAAAAAATATATATATAATATATATATATATATATATATATATATATATGTATATATATAAAAGTCATGTTACACCTGGGTATGTAAGTCGCTTTCTTCACTGATTTTAGACCCATTTCCTTTGACCCATCAAAAATGGCCTTTTTGTTTAAGTCTTTCGTAAGAGGATCTGCAATATTCCTCTTAGATTTCACATACTCTAACATGAGTACACCACTCACAATCAACTACCTTACAGACTCATGTCTAACTCTTATGTGTCTTCTCTTGCCATTATAGACGCTATATTTTGCCACACATATAGCAGTTTGTGAATCACAGTGTATGGGCACAGATGCAAAAGGCCCAAATTTTATGGACAAATATAATTGCAAACAACCATTGGCCGCTAACTTCACACGTGAAATCTGAGCACATGCATTATTTTAATGGCAAGTGGATGATTCAAATTTCTTTTCCCTCCAATGAACATATTTGAAGATACAACTTTAAATATAAGGAATGCACGGTGAAGAGACACAGAAGATATATTGTGTGCGTAATTTCAAGCATTCAAGCATTAGAAAGCTCACATATGTTATTCATCAAGATTAAAAGACTCAAGCTCTAAAGGTTCATCTAGCTTTTATAAGACTCTTAGTTGGGAATTATTTCAACTTGTGTGCTGAAGCTGTGTCTATCTCTACCAAGGGCATATAGGGGAAGGGTAGTAGGGGTTGTTAGGTGAAAAATTGATCAAATCAGTGTTTGACTTTGTGATCAAAGCACTCGATTTGTTATACATATTCATTGTAATTGTAGGGTATTGACAAAATTATAGTAAATTTCTTCGTGGACGGTAGGAGAAATTGGAACCACTATAAACCGCTTGTGTTCTTTATTTTCTTGGCACTTTAATTTATGCCATATCTCATCTCTTCTTAAAAAAAAATAAAATATTTTCTTCAAAATTTGTTTTCTGTTGTGCAACTTTTTATCCAAAAATTCTTCTTGACTATATAGTAATAAAATATAAAAGTCTATTATCCCCTTAAAAACTTTTAACTTGCTCATCATGATAAACATTTGTGTATGTTGAGATATGTTTGGAAAAGTGCACAACTATTTTTTTTTTTTATGTGAATTAGAACTTATACACATGTAGGGTCTATAAGATTTATAAATTTCTATATTCATTTATAATTTATTAATTAGCTAAGGTTATTTAAATGTGTGCAAATTTTGCAACATTTTATTTGCTTTTAACATTATCTATAAATATATTGTGGACTTTAAAAAAAAAAAAGAAGAAATATAATGTGTTTTTGTACATGACAGCTCAATATACCATGCAACTATTCAATTTGGCAGCAGAGTGGTTGCATTCCAAGTTCATTTTGAGATCATATGAGGTGGATAGAAGAGGTAATATCAACAGTTAAAAGCCTTATTATAACAAGAATAATGTTATAGTTTTCCCTGTCAAAAATACTATTTAATGATCACATCCAAACGTGATATACACAAAAACTCGTGTGAATTGAAGTTGTTTTAAATGTTGGTTCATGAGAAAATTTTCAAAAAATAAGTCGTATCGTATAAAGTGAACAAAATGGGTTTGTGTTGTTGCAAGGAAAATTAAAACAATCACAACTTTCTGAGAGCAAGTTCAGCCCGCATGTGTATGCTTTATAATTCATTGTATTTAGTAGATAAGTGTATGCTATAATTCCTTATCTAAAAATGCCTATTTCAAAATAAAAAATGGTACATGTTTTTTTTTTTTTTTTTTTTTTTTTTTTTTTTTTTTTTTAATATGGTAATGGTACATGTTTTACTACTTACTCAACTTATGAAAGAATTACAAATATATTTTATGACTATATTATCAAAATACAACATTTTTATGTATTTTATTAGAAAATATTCCTATTTATTAATTACTTATAAATTGATCAATTTCGCATACACATGTACAAATTTATTTATAGAATTTTGTATGCATCTAACATTTTGGAAATAAAATGATTATATATATTACAAACAAATATGATAATTGATAACAACGAGTTTTGTACATGATAGATAAGGTTGACCACAGGGGAAAATCATGGTGGAGCAGATTAATGCTGACATTAAAGTCTAGATATGAACGTGATGCGGATGCAACAGGTAATATCAATTGTTAAAAATAAAATTTAGGGTGTATTTAGAAACTCGAAAAATGATTTCTGTAAATCATTTTTTGAGTTTCTATTGTTTGGCTAGAGGGAAAAAATGAAAGTCAATGGAAAATAGGGGTGTGGTCAATAGAAAATAGAGAAGATTTTTCGGAAAATGCCTTCCATTTTTTGGGGGAAGTCATTTTTCGTTTGTAGCAGTGGAACAGTTAATTACCCGCTGCCGCCGCCGCCACCACCACCGCCACCACCACTACCACCACCACCACCACCATCATTGTATATTTTAAATATTTAAAATTAAAAATAATTATGTTCATTTTCCAAAAATGAACCAAACACACCAAAATAGTTTTCTGGAATGCTGTGAAAACGTACCCACCTTGTAAGGTGGGCACAGTTCCATAATGGCGTCGTTTTCGTCGAAAACGACGCCGTTCTAATTAAAAAAAAAATTATTTTCACTTGCTGTTAAAGGCGTTTCTCTCTTCGCAATCGCACAGTTTAGAAATTATGAATCTACTGTATTTAAATTAAGAATCTACAGTATAGAAATTATGAATCTACAGTATTAGGTTTGTGAACATGTGATAGAGCTATATGTTCATAATTTTATAAATATATGTTCATAATTATAGAGCTATATGTTCATAATTTTCGATGTTCATATATCCAATAGTTGAACTTTGTATTCACAAATCACAGAACTCTATGTTCATAATTTGATAACTATACAATTTAGAAACTATGAATCTACAGTACATAAATTATGAATCTACAGTATAGATATTATGAATCTGCAGTATAGAAATTATGAGTCTAGTGTATAGAAATTATGAATCTATTGTATTTAAATTATGAATCTATGGTTTAGAAATTATGAATCTACAGTATAGAAATTATGAATCTACAGTATAGAAATTATGAATCTACAACAATGCCAACCTTGCAACAACATATCGCTCCGCAACCAAACACTGGAAAGGAATTTTTTTTTTGGAAAATGACTTATTTTCCAAAAAACATTATATTTGTCATTGTTGAACCAGAATTTTTGAAGCTTGCCAATTACAAGTGATGTATCTAGGTTTTGATATATTTAATGAGTTAGTGTGTGTAGAGTATGTGGTTAGTTGCTTAGTAGAAATAATGAAAATGAAAGAAAGTGCGAGATATTTTTATAGTGATTCGAAAAACTTTTCTACTCCACTCTTCTTTTTAAACTCCAATGAGAATTCCACTAAGTATTTGTTTACATAAATACAAAGTGGCACGAAGCCTTCAGCTTCTACCGGTTGACAATTCTTGAGACAATAGTTGTTCATATACTTGATTAGCATTTTGGAGATCCCTAGCTAGGTTGCAATTATGAAGCTTGTGCTATCTAGAAAATCATTAACCTTTGTTGGCTAGTCTTTGTAACTTCCAAATTATGAATAATGTTGCATCAGTTGCGTGGTTCTGAGTCTTGCCTTTCTTTATAAAAATAAATAATAAAACAAAAAAAAAATAAAAAAGAAAAAGAGAGAGAATCTAGAGGCAATAGTTAGATCGCGAACTAGGATCTACCTTGCAAGGTGGACTCTAGTTCAAAACGACAGCGTTTTAGCTGTCACGATTAATGTGGTGTTGTTAGTTTCATTTTTCAAAAATCGCATCGACCGTGTTTCTAAATATTAAGTATTGAGTTTCTTAAAATACTAGTTTATGAACATTAAGCTTGGAGTTTATGAATATATAATGTCTAGTTTTTTAACAGTAAACTTTGATTTTTTAAACATATAGTATCTAGTTTATGAATATTAAGCAAATATTTGAGTTTCTGAATATATAGTATATAGTTTATGATCATTAAGCTTTGAGTTTTCAAACATATAAATGATTAATGCCGTTAACAGTGAAAAGGAAAAAAAATAAAAAATTTGATAAAATTAAAATAATACCGTTTTAGACCAAGGTTCACCTTGTAAAGTGAATTATGATCCACGATATAATTTGCGGAGTGGAGGGGTTTTAGAGATCGAGAATACATGACAATTATTCTAACAAAAAGTACATAACTAGTTTCCATTCCGGCAAGCAAGATAATAAGCGGTTGTTATCCTGTGGACCATGGTCCGAAAACGGCGCCGTTTCTTTAAGTAAAGAAACGGCAACTATTACTTTTTAACAAATTCCGTATTTTTTATGTGTTCATAACAAAATGAAACTACGGTGTATCTAAAATGAAATTGTCTCGCATATTGTGTTTATATTATCAAATGAAACTATAATTGAATCGAAATGATACTTTATTTGTGTTGAAATGAAACTGCATTATGTATAAACTGAAACTGGATAACATATCTCACATATTGAGTGTATATTGTCAAATAGAACTGTAGTTGAATAGAAATGATACTTTAGTTTTAGTGAAATGAAACTACAGTGTGTATAAAAAAAAACTGAATAACATGTCTCACATATTGAGTATATATTGTCAAATGAAACTGTAGTTATATCAAAATGATACTATAGTTGTATTGTAATGAAACTAAAATGTATATAAAATGAAACTGAATAACAGTTTCACATATTTGAGTATATATTGTCCAATGAAACTGTTGTTGAATTAGAATTACAATTTGATGGTGTTGCAATAAGACTACAGCGTGTATAAAATGAAATTCAATAACATGCGTTGTAATAAGACTATTGTATGTATAATGTCGAATGAAATTGTAATTGAAATCAAATGAAATAGTAGTTGTGGTGAAATTAAACTACATATATATAAAGTGAAACTGAATATGTTATACAAGCAGAGTTAATTACGCGGACCGAGTATCGTTTCTTTTCATTAAAAGAAACGGCACCGTTTTGAACCCTGATACATAATGCTGTGTTGGAAATGGTTCACAGTAAAATTTGCCGATAAGGCAACCACATAAAGGAAACCTTCATTACACAAATATATGTGGCTATGTGAGATAAAGGACCTTGACCCACCTGAAAAGATATATACTAGATCAGGATAAAGGATTACTAGACCGATTTACTAGCAAAATAGGCGAAAAAGTAAAAGATAATATTCAATGAGAGGGTGTGTGATTACCAGGAATTTCAAACTTTTTTAGAAATTTAATTTAACTACGTTTGTTGTAATTTTAAATTTAGAAAAGTTTAAATTAATGTGAATCTAATTTTATGCTATCAACGAAAGTAAATCCTACTTAGGGAAGGTATGATTTTAGTTTTTGGGATAATTTTGAATCTACCAATTTTTTATTTATTTTTTTTAAAGAAAAACAAAGCTTGTATTATGATAGTAAATCGGAAATGGAGTTTGGAGGGACCGAGTCCCAGTACAAAGTATTAGCCTGAGAAACGGCTGTAGTAGCTAAAGTGTGAGCTATAACATTAGCTGATTTAGGAATTAACCGAATAATGCTATTATTAAAAGTGGACATAGCAATCCTACATTCATCTATAACCAAACCAACATATGACAAAATAGGCACCTGTGAAGATAAAATACTCCGAAGCTCCCGAACAATCAGTGTAGAGATCCACGGCCAACTCCCCACGATCCTTCAGCCACAATATTGCCTCCTTACATGCCATAGATTCCGCCCCATGTTATCTTAATTACACACATCCAACGCATGTCTAAACCATATAGAAAATGTGTTGCCAGAAATAGAGGACATAGGTAATGAAGAAATATTCCACACAAGTTGATAAAATTCACACAAAACAAGGGAGTGCATTGTATTCTCATGAGTACGATCACATAGAGGGCATGAGGGATTCACTTCTGCTCTCTTTAAAAGCAAGTTAGTTGTTGTGGGAGGATATCATTAAGAGCCCTCCATAAAAAAGTCTTCCATTTGGGAAGAACCTTCAATTTCCATAGGGTGATCCATTTGTCAAAGTCCCCAACGTGGCTTTCATATTCACCAGTAATGTGTCTATAACCACTCTTTACAGAATAATAACCCTTCGTGTCACCCAACCAGAACCATGAGTCCTCATAATTAGGGCTAATAGGGATCCTAGAGATGCGAGCCACATCATTCGGATCAAACAAGTCAACCAAAACTTCGGGGTCCCAGGAATTTGTGTTGTGGTCAATCAAACCCGACACCAGTGCACCACTTAACCGGGGGAGGGGGAGGGGGAGGGGGGGGGGGAGGGGGCATGGCGGCTTGCACCAATGGACTCGGATCGTCAGGTAACCATGAATGTCCCCAAATTAAAGTAGATTTATCATATCCAATCATGCATCTTACACCACCACAAACCAGATCATGAGCAGCCATAATACGACGCCAACAATAACTAGGGCGATTACCCACGGAGGCATCAATAAAAGAAGTTCTAGGAAAATATCTAGCCTTATAAATCCTAGCATCCAAAGAATGGGTCTTAGTAAGGAACCTCCAGGCTTATTTACCTAACATAACCAAATTTCATAGGCACACATAAACGATCCTGGGCTTTCAAGTGAATATCCCCTTCATTCCCATTACCCTACCAATAACGATTCATGGTCCGCTCAATAGATAGGCAAACAGTCTTAGGAAGCAAGAATGCACTCATAGAAAAAGTAGGCATAGATTGAGCTACACTTTTCAAAAGAACCTCCTTACCAGCCTAAGATAGCAATTTTTTGTTCCATGAACCAATCCTATGTTTGATCTTATTCTCAATGTAAGAGAAAACTGCTTTTTTATTTCTCTCTACGAATGCAAGTAACCCCATATATTTTCCAAAATTTGGAGCCTGTACAACACCCAACACACTTACCACCTCCTCCCTATGTTCTTCAGAAATATTCTTGCTAAAGTAGACACTGGACTTATGAAAATAAACCACCTGACTTGACAAGTTCCCATAAACACTCAGACAGCTTAATAACTCCTTCTTCCTGGGCATTTGCTTTAAAGAAAAGTAGGTTGTCATCTGCAAAGAATAGATGGGAGATAGGGTGTGCACCCCGAACTACCCTGCACCCATGGATAGATCCCTCCATTTGAGTTTTCTGTAATAAAAGAGAGAGACCCTCCGCACAGATAATAAATAAGGGAATAATAGATCACCCTATCGTAAGCCACGAGTTGGGGTCACACTTCCGCTACTCACACCATTAATTAGGAAATTATAAGAGACCGTAATAACACAAAGTATAACTAGGTCTACCTACCTGTCACCAAAACCCAGCACTAATAACATCCATCCTCAGAAAGGACCAATACATTCGATCATAAGCCTTAGCCATGTCCAGTTTAAGGGCTCTCCACCCTACTACCCCACATTGTTTTCTATTTAGGTAATAACCCACCTTTGCAGCCACTAGAATATTATCTGTAGTCAGCCTGTCTGGAATAAAATCACTTGAGACTCAGAGATCAAGTCACCCAGAAGCGATTTCATCATATTTGCCAACACCTTAGCCATAATCTTATAAACAACGTTACATAGTGCGATAGGCCTAAGGTCAACTACGGTCTCAGGAACATTCTTCTTAGGGATGATGACAACATTAGTATCATTAAGGCATTCCAAGAAAGAACAGGAATTCAAGCAATGAATAACAAAGGATGACACATCCCCCCACCACATCCCAAAAATGTTGATAGAACACCGGGTTCATCACATCAGGTCCCGGGGCTTTATCAGGGAACACAGAGAAAAGGGCATACTTAACCTCTTCTATCACAAAAGGGTGCAACAGGGTATCATTATCAAAACTGGGTGACACGGGGCATAATAGAGTTAAAGAAAGGATCATCACAGGTAGACCCATTATACCGGAAGATATTGTCAAAATAGCCCAAAACAAGAGAATTCATAGCAACCCCCTCAACACAAGCCCCAGAGCTATTTATAAACTTAGTAAGAGTGTTCTTCCTTTTACAAGCAGAGGCGTACCTGTGGTAGAATTTTGTGTTTGCGTCCGCCCCTTTAGCCAGTGATGTTTAGCACGTTGTCTCCAAAACACATGCATCCTCCTGCGCTTCAAGACGGCTCAACTGCGATTTGGTCTGTTGGAATTCAGCCAAGGCGGATGGATCCCTACGACCTCTCAATGCCAACTAGTTCTTGCATAGATTTCTGATTTGCTCACCAAACTTATGGAAGTGCTCCCCCCCCCCATCTCCCCAACTGCTCCTCACAGAGTTGTTGGCACCCCAACAAGCCACCCTCCTTCTTATCCTCTCATGTACTTTCCACAACCTCTCTACAACCATCATCTAGAAGCCAAGCCAGCTCGAATTTGAAACCCCTCTCCTCCCCCACCCCTCGTACTAGAATCACTTACGCCGAGGAATAAGGCCGAGTGATCAGAAGAGCGGATGATGATGTTTTCCACGCTCACACTTCCCAGCATATCTCTCCAACTTACACTTGCCAGAACCTTATCAAGTCTCTCCTCTATCCAATCCACAGTACCCCAACCTCTCTCCC